CGCAATGCGCAGTTCATAATAGATTTCAACAGAGTAATTTTTTAAAAAAAGACTCTAAGTGAGAGGATTACAGAGAGATCCAACATATGTAGCCAGTTCCGAGATTTTCTGGACTAAAAAATGTTAAAAAAACAAAGCAATCAAAGTTCAGGTGTCAAATGTAAGATCAATGTATAGGTTATAAGAACTCGCAGAGCCTTCACCATTTACAGCCAAGGAAAGCAGGAAAGGCTCTTGGTTTGGAAACTAATTTTTTGTGGATAGCAGGTTTTTTTTTAAAGAACCATATCTTTAAGTCTGAATACGCACTTAGTAGCAATTGTGACTTAAGAAATTCTTCTTTTTTCTTAACAGATGTTTGATTTCTAGCTGAAATCAATACACAAACGTGTATTAGGACGGAGGAGCAAATGTTAGGCATCAAATAGTCAACCTCCATTTGATATCATAATTGTTGATGTTTTCGCTGTGTTTTGTGATTGATGTGAGATAGAACGCTTGTAAACATCAATATTTCTTTCAATACTTGTCGTTAGACATTATTTTTAAATGAATACAGATACACACAATAAACACACTAAACCCACTAAAATAAGCTATAAATTCTCCTCTAAACGTAATTGACGAAAATGGTTGCGCCATTAGAGACTAAAAAAACTTCTTATGATTTGAAGAACGCAGAATGATTGTCTGTCTGGAGACGCCATGCATGCATGGAGATGCATGAGTTTTCGTAGTTCTAATTGATCTATGTGGGACACCAGAGATGACGTCTTCTCTTACGAAATCTTCGTTGAATCTTTACCTTCTTTTTTTCAACTCTAAGGGTAGGAAAACTTTGGAATGCGTGTTTTTAACCTATAACTAGGGTACTATTGCGCAAACAACTGCACTCTTGCTGAACAGAAATCATACCAACAGCAAAACAAAACATCAGATCGATCCTGTCTGCTGTGGGCGTTTCTCTAACGCAGCATTCAGAAAGTCTTCAGCGTTTGGTATTGGCAGTTATCAAATTCTCTTCAACCTACCACATCAACCGCTAAAACATGTCGCAACCCTATTATACCAATCAACCAACTGTGAGTTGCACCGGCTCCGCTTTTCTTTATGTCTTATTGCAGGGCGACTGTTTCGATCTAGTTTCAAATGAAATTCATGTTTGAAATTCCTATGATTAAATCTTATGTTGTGCAGAGTTCTATAACATTACAACAGTTCACATAATTTTTTTAACCCATATTCATTCTTCAAAGTTGTACACGCCGTTCCATTACCATAGATCTC